TGAAGGGCGAGCCAGGCCGAGGAGGCAGCTCTTGCCAATGCCGAAGTGTGCCAGGGGCTGGCGTGCAGCAGCCTGCTGAGGCTGGCGTGGGGAACAGGCTAATAATAGCCTGTTCCGAAACCCTGGTTCAGTGCCTGAGTTTCAGGGCCGGTCGTTCTGATGAACGACCGAAAATGACCCTTTGTTTCAGGCTATAAAGGCTGATGCTGTTCTTAGTCTGAAACAACATAGGGGCTGTGGCCCTGGAATTCAGGCTTTCGGCCTGATCCGACATGGGGCCTGTAAGCCCTGGATTTCAGGCTTTCAGCCTGAAATTCAGGCTTTTGGCCTGAAGGACGTCGGGCGTGCAAAATGGCCCGCGTGTCCACGCGCAGCATGTAACAACCCCCCCTCCTTATGAAGTCAAGCCGGGGCGAGGGCGAAGCCGACGGTCTGAAGGTGGAACCTGGACGCGGGCGTGGCGTGGAGCCGAAGAAACCGGCTTGCCTTGCATCTTGCGTTCGTAGCGTGCGAGAACGTCTGGAGCTATTGCCTGAAGTTCCGCACTGGTTAACCAACGGTCAGCTCGGTGTGTGCAGTATGCAAAATGCACCAAATACTCAGTTGGCTTATTGCCGTAGCGTCGCTGGGAGATGATGTCGCCGACCTCCTGAAAACCGTCCATAGAAGGTGGGTCTTGCGTACGTCTCCCTGGAAAATCGTCATGTTCCGCTGGCGTGTAAAGAGCCAACTTGGAGTAATGAAAGACTGGGTAGAGCGGCAAGTGGCCAGGCAGCTGAATCGTGAAGGAAGGTCCCTCGGGTGCGTCCCCAGCGGGCGCTACGATTGGCCAAGGCCCCATCCATTTCGGGAGGAGCTTGCGAGAGATGTCTTGTTCAAGGCTGAATTCCGCTTTGGAAACCCAAACAAGGTCGCGTGCGCGGAATGGGCAAGGAAGATGCTAGCGATTGGCCTGTTGGCTCATGCGCTGCTGCGTCTTAGCCATCTGATCGCGTGCCTTGACAAGAAGCTCTTGCATCCGACGCAAGAAAATAAGATGGGCGTCGCTCTCGACCGTGCGTGGAGTAATAGTGTCTAACGGTGAAATGACYGGCGAGCCGTGCTCAAACTYAAAGGGCGACATCCCGATAGCCGGGTGGATAGATGAGTTGTAGGCCAACTCGACATCCGACAACCGCTCAACCCAGTCCTTCTGGTCGGGGCGGATGAGAGTGCGAAGGAGAACCTGTGTGGTCTGATGCGCCCTCTCTGTCTGGCCATCGGTCTGCGGGTGGCGAGCTGAAGTGGGCTTGAGAGATAAGCCCCATCGCTTGATGAGCGCCAACCAAAAATCGGACATGAACCGAGTGTCGAGGTCGCAGACGATCTCCTTGGGGTAACCCTTGGTTCGAATCCAACCAGCGTAGAGAACCTCGGCCAGCTCCGGTGCCTTGGCATGATAGCGACAAGGCAAAAACATAGTGAACTTGGTGAGTCGGTCGACCACCGTGAGAATTTCATCCACTCCGGTCTTGTGCTTGGGGAACGGGCCGGTAATGTCTATGGCAATCGCTTCCCTTCGCCTCAACGGGACTGGTAGTGGTCGTAACTCGCCGTACGGACGATGATTGCGGGATTTGCAGCGCCGGCAAACCTCCCATGACTCGCAATAGCGTGTGACGTCGCCGAGAAGGTCGGGCCACCAAAATCGCTCGCGGAGTCGGCCAATCGTGCGATTGACTCCAAAATGTCCAGTGGCGGGAGCGTCGTGGAACTCGCCAAGAAGCCGTGTACGCAAGTGAGGATCACTCGGTACGCAAAGGAGGTCCTTCCCCCGCTTGTGGACAAGCAAGTACCCCTCTTGGATCCGATAGTGAGAAGGAGCCGGATTAGGAGAGGAGCAATTCGCGTACCTGTCACGAAACTCGGGGTCGGCCTGGTAGCCGCGGATGAAACTGTTCCGCAGGTCGTCGTCGATCTCGAAGGTTGAGTAGACCGCGTACAATGATCGGGACGCCGTGAAAGAGCATCCGCAAAACGGTTCAACTTCCCGGGAATGTGATCGGGAAAGAAGTCGAACTGGTCGATGAAAGCCATCCATCGAGCGATGGTGCTGTTGATGGTGTCTTGGGTCTTGTAAAATACCAACRGATTGTTGTCCGTTACCCAGCGAAATTGGCTTCGACCAAGGAGGAAGTGWCGCCACCGCTTGAGCRTGTGGACGAAGGCGAGGAGCTCCTTCTTGCGTGCATCATCAATGGAATGCACAATGGGCACTTTCTTGCTGAAGTATTCGACCGGGTGCCAGTCCACACCGTCATGTTGCTCAAGGACTGCACCAATTCCATAGCCTGACGCATCCGTAGTGACGCGCGTAGGCAAGAGCGGGTGGTATATCCGCAAGACCTCAGCAGACAATAGCGCGGCTTTCAGAGCGAAGAATGATCCCCGCGCCTCCTCTCCGAACTCAAACGGTTGATCCTCGCATTGAAGCTTGTTCAAGTGGGCCGCGATCTTCGAGTAGCCTTTGATGAAGCGCTGATAGTAGCCGGCGAGACCGAGGAACGAGCGGACATCTGTGACGTTCCGAGGCTCCGGCCACGCTTGGACGGCCTGAATCTTGTCCGATAGCGGACTGATGCCCTCCGGTGTGACGAAATGGCCCAAGTATTTCAGCTCCTGCCGGACAAATTCACACTTGTCGCGGTTGGCCTTGTACTTGGCGAGGCGGAGCGTCTCCAACACTCGTCGAAGATGCCCAAGATGATCCTCCAATGACCGGCTATAGACGAGAATATCGTCTAAGTAGACCAGCACGAACCAGTCCAACATTGCACGGAATTCATTGGTCATTGCTGGTGGAAGGTCGCCGGGGCGTTGGTGAGGCCAAAAGGCATGACCACCCACTCGAAATGCCCGTACCGCATCTTGAACGCGGTCTTGTAGCAGTCGTTCAGCTGGATGGAGATTTGATGATATCCGGATTTCAAATCCAACTNCGTTCAGCTGGATGGAGATTTGATGATATCCGGATTTCAAATCCAACTTGGAAAAATATTTTGCGCCGCCCAATCGCTCAAGAAGATTGTTGATGYGAGGAAGAGGCCCCGCATTTTTGACGGTTTGCGCGTTGAGCTTGCGGTAGTCGATACACACTCGTAGATCCTTGTTCTTCTTCCTGACGAAGAGAACTGGTGCTCCATATGGGGAGCTGCTAGGGCGGATCCAACCCTTGACCAACAAATCATCGAGTTGTGCGCGGAGGACCTCAAGTTCCTCCTCGCTCATCCGATAGATGCAACCTTTCGGCGGCACGRCACTGGCCTCAAGAATGATCTCGTGAGAGATAGGCCGATCCGGCACCACACCGGTAGGTGACTCGAAGATGTYAGCGAACTGGTCCAGCAACCGTACCACACGGGGGTCCGAAGACAAGTCCGTGGGTGAAGAGCTGGCAACCGCGACGGTCCGTAGAAAACATAGGCCGATCTCCTCGGGCTGCTCGTAAGCGCAAGTCGCCCGGAATGATTTGGCCGTCACCACTTGGCACTGGATCGAAGGGTGCAGTAGAGGAATAGTACACGCCACTTCCGCGCCGAAGGTGTCGCGAACGCGAAGAGTCCGCCGGTGGAAGTTGGTCGTGTGATCYGCACTTGCAAGCCAAGGCATTCCCAGAATGATGTCGAAGTCCRTGTCGAGAATATCGAATGTCACCGGTTCGCATGCATGAGGTGCGAAGTAGACCGGTACAGCCTCGATGTAACGGTCGAGAAGTTGTTGCGTYTTTCCATCCGCCAACTTGATCGCCGTCGGGTTTGCCTTCCTCCGAACTTGTGCGCCAAGGCCAGCCTTTTGCATAAAGGACAGGCTCATGAAATTGCGAGACGCGCCGCTATCCAGCAAAGCGCTGCAGGACGCTTGCCCAACCTGAATGCGGACATACATGAGCGGTGCGTTGTTGTCATCGTTCCGCTGATTGCGAAACTCGCGGGCCACCTTGGTAGTATACGCCAGGATGTCCCCCACCTCGACTTCGTCATCCGTCGGCGAAGTTGGTGGTGCATAGAAGGATAAGTAAGTGTGGAGATGAGCGCTAAGTGTTGCGCATTGCGGTCCCGGCAAGCGGCCTGTGGTCGGGAGAGGAAGCCATGCAAAGTCCTCAGACGTGAGCGGGCCCAATGCCTCTATGTTGAACTCGCGTGCCGAATCCCGTGATGAACCACTTGAAGACGATATGTCGCCGTTGCCGGACGGAGAAGAAACCGCACACACTCCTTGTCCTTGAGCTTGAGTACCCAGCGTAGAAACGAGCCGCGCAGCATAATCCTCAAAAGAAAGTAGAAGAAGAGGACTATCGACTTCCGCCTGCGCCTCAGAATGAAGGCCGGTTACTCGCGAAGAAACCGGTTCCAGAGGTGTTGAGAGTGTTGTCGAATCACTCTCGGCGGTGCTCAGTTTCCCTGTTTGCCCTTGCCTTTCAATGGGCAGACCTGCGTCTGATGAAGATCGCTGTTGCACCAAAGGCAATAGTGGAATCTCTCGCGCGCTTTGAATGCTTGCTCGGGGATGCCATACTGGGACCATGGGCCTGTCTGAGCTGTTGCACCGGGCCCGGGGCTAGATGCGGTGTGTGCCTTCGTCTTGCCGCGTCCTCGGCCTCTGCCGGGGCGGCCACTTTCTCGGGCGACTGAGAGTCTATCCCCTTCACTGGCAGACACAGCCTCGCTGGATTGGTCAAACGGCGTTGCCGTTACGACCACGACCACTCTTAGCCGATGCTCGTCCCTGCTCGGGCCTGACGCAGATGAACGAAGGTTCTTGGCCTCCTTGTTCGTGATGATGATCTGCGCGGCCTTGTCAAACAGTTCCGCCGTCGTCGTCAAGGTGTCCTTGACATGAGTCAAGGCATTGTTAAATGCTGGACATGACCTTGAGATGAAGTAGTGGCGGATGGCCTTTAAGCCCATCTGGATGTCTGGGACTGACGTCAAGTGTTGGTACTCGGCGATCCAGTCCGTACTCGGCAGCGTGCCTTGCTCGAAGACCATGAGCTTGTCCATGGCTTTGATCCGGTGGCTCCACCTGGAACTGCTTGTGCCACGCCGCCTTCAGATCATCCCAACTGATCTTGGTGTGCAAGTGGTTGGCTACCACTCCGTACTTGGACAACAAGTTGTCCAACCAAGCCTGACACGCGCCCCATGAGCGAGAGTACAAGTATGTGTGGTGCTTGTGTTCCTTGACATTGTGGAGCTGCAGCGGGAGCTCAAACTTGGGAAAACATGGAACTGGATCTGCCTTCATTGAGTCGCAGAAGATCTCCTGCCCATCGAACTTTAGAGCTGTCTCGCGCGGTTCCGAACTCGAGGTGTTGGTGGTAGTGCAGATCCGCTGTCGCAACTGTTGTGTTGAGGTCTGCTGCAATTGCACGCCATCCTTGAGTGAGCCGACGCCCATCTCCAATGCGTTGAGGCGGTCGGAAGTGTTGGAAGAGCTTGCGTCGGC